GTCAGGTCAATCAAACTTATTCATGCTAGAATTTAGTCTCTATTAGAACTCTTCTGTTGCTTGTACCATACATGGAAGTTCTGCTTTACGCACCTGGTTGCAGGGGAAGAGAAAAAATGAAGAAGCATTACTTGAGGAAATCACTTCTGCTATCTGGATTTGCATCTCAAGTCTGGTAAAAGTTTATGTTAACAGAGAAACAGGTTGCTTTGCTCAAAGTGGAAGATTTCTGCTAGTGTTTTGAGTAGGTTGTAATTCTGTTTAGCCTGCTTTGTTTGAATGAATCGCTTAGTCATCCAATTAAATAAGAAAAAGATTGTAACAGGTAATCTGTGAATTAAATTGCACAAGAAGTAGAAAATATAGGCCTAAATTTTGCTTTATCACAGAATGATCACATATACAAATTCCGCCATAGGTCACTTTCAAGTTCAATGGAGCTTGAAGAAGGAAACTAGAGGATCATAGACAACTTGATTTGCATTCACACCAAGAATAAAATCTGCATGAGCATAGTCCTTCCTGTATACTACAACCAGCTTGCTTATGTCATGATCTTTGAGGTCATTTAGCAGAGTCTTCACATCTTTAACATCAGCAAGCATGTCCTTCCCTCCATAGCCAAGGAAAAGAGGAAGGTCTTTTGGAATGCTTCTCATGTTGTACGTTGGGGGAGTCGGTTGCCCGTAGTGCCCCATGTTCTCATCTTTACTTCCATAATCGTACATTGTTATGGTTCCCGTTCTAATCACTATTCAACAATCAAAAGCGCCAAATCAAATGATGATTGAAGAAATTAATGACCATATCTTGTTATTTTATTTTCATTCCATTATAAAGGTTTCTTTGGAATTTATCATTTAAAATTGGCTTGGAAGTCAGTCAAGCCTATAACTTACGCACTTACTTTGAGATAGGTGGATCATGTTCTTAGTTGCAGTTGGCTGGGGTTCATGCTTAAGTAATACACCTGCCTTTGAAGAATTTACGCAGCAATTTGGCCCTGTGAAAGCCATAAGTTTTTACCAATTAGCAACAGCGAAATAAGTATGTTCGTGTCAAGGATCTAATGAGCAAGCTTTGAAGAGGACCTGTGAAAGCAGTCATTAAGTTGGAGCAGTCGTTGCCTGGTTTATTGCATATCTCTTCCAGAAACGGGGCTAGAACATCCCTGTCCAAAGTCAACAAATAACAATTGATGTTTACATTCTTCACAGCTTTGGGAATTAGCTTCTGAACCTCTTTTCTTGCATTGCTCCTATAAATTATCAAACAAATACTCGACAGAAAAGGTATTCCTATAGAAGTGAAAAGGATTCTCATTACTTCTAAAGTGTAAAAATGATATAAGTGATACCGATAGTTTATCTTTTCTCACGGAATAATCTTGTTGATAAAACCCTGAAGATTATGTTTTATTTTGGATTACTCTAATAGTTCTCCCGAGAATATTTAAGATTAAGAACCAAATCAAATAAGAATTTCAAGCAGCTATTGATTGCATAGGATGATGCTAATATTGATCAACTTCATCCTCACCATCCTGGAGGAAATTGACGGTAACCCAACCCATATAAATCCTGTTAATCAAAGAAGGGGAACAGAAATTGACAATGAGATTCATGTCAGGGGTAACTGCAATTCACACTTGAAAAGGATAAACCTAGAGATCTGTCTTACTTCTGCTAAATACAGCTGAGCAGCAGCTTTTGTTAGTTGCGAGGGAATCTGATCCAGGTAAGCAATTGGACTCAGCAAAGCAGCTGTTCTGAACATGTTTAACAGCTCTTGTTTGGAAAAGGCAGCTAAAGCGATTAAAGTTCCCTAAAATTTCGAGGGTTTTCTTAGTATCAGCTATTGTATGCCTAGCAAAGTCTAGGAAACAATAATATACCAGAACAGGTAGAACTACAAAACACAGTACCAAGGAATGCCCAACATAATGGAACTTCTGCCCAGTTTGATCATGAACGTATTGGACTAAAGCAGAAAGATCGTAGTGGACTAATTCATCCCATGACCATTCCCAGTAAGCCTGCAACAATATAAGGAATAAACTCTTGAGCAAAACAGTTTACAGTTGTTGTAGTCCAATCAAGGGTGCTGATAAATAGAAAAAGAACCGAATCATTGGGACTCAGAGATGTATGTCCACGACTATATTTAGTTCCACGTGTGTTGGCAAGCCACACATCAAAGCCATTATCTGCCAAAATGAAACCCAATGATTCATCTGGAGAATTCAACAACCATGGTGCAGCATCCTGCCACAATAACATGCTATGTTATTAACTATATCATGTGATTTACATCATGCTTAGTTATATATACATGCACTAGAAATGTTGTATGGTGACTAACCACTAAGATCCCGTGTTGCAGTAGTACCGGTGGCTTGTCTTCTGTCTTACCGGACTGCCCAACCGGAATCCTCTGCACGCTAAGAATGTAACCATCTTTTGTAGTAACCTGAAACCATAAATTTTTTTGTCCGAAGTCATGAGTTGTTACAAGTTGGTGGTCTTAAGAGGTAAGGCGAAAACATATGGAAGACAGCGTGTATCTTTACTTTATGTTCCTCACAGACATAACCTTGAGTCTGCACCAATGATTTGCAGATAGTATCATCGGTGATTGAGGAATGTATGATTACATCATCCCTAGAACTGGTTGAAAACACCTTCTTAGTGGCTGCTGCATTTGCTGACACAGAGAATAGTACCAATAGGGTTAAAACAGTTGAAAAGTTAGGCATCTTGAGTTCTCTTATGTCCACTACACAACCTGGCAGTTTCCCTAGTTTTATAGTCGACAAATACAAATGAAACAAGGTAGTATTCTTTGCTATAATCGCAGGCCTTCTCAATTGACCTATGTTGCAAATGAAACTCTGTGGATGGATACTTCTAAAAGGCATTTGTATCGATGTATCACAAATATAACCGATACTTTTCAGCACTTTTAAGGGCTGTATTTGTTACCCTTCTGTATATGTTCCCAAAGTCTTTCAAGCTGCATCAAATACTTGAGAAACTTTCGGACATGCATAAAAGCGTCCAAATAACCCTTTTAGTATTAATGAGCATAAATGAGTTCATAAACAAAATCATTAGAAAGAAACTACAAACTTAAGCTCATCTTTGACCAGCAATATTCATGAAATTCATCTCTAATAGCCATTCAACAAGGTACAGTATAGGAATGAATAATAGATTAGCACTATGACGTCTACTCTTTGCGTTTACTTTTTAATGTATTGTAATAATATATTATCCTTCTCTTTCAATTATTTCCATATGGTTTATATTTGAAGGGAATCATACCTATATCCAATATGCTTATCCTTGCTTCCTATGTCAGTGCCCATTCACTGATTAAATTAATAAAACCTAAGATATCAAGCATGGCCCAAATATACTTCGTGATTGTCATCATTAGCATAAGACTAGGTATCGTTGCTGGCACGATCCCTCTTTACAAAAAATATTTAAGTCCAAGTCTCCTTGGCTGATTAAGCAGGCTACAATGAAAACTATAAGGGGAGCAATATATTAGAAACAGATGGTGTTTATCTTTTATCCTTTTTTTTTTTTTTGTGGATAACTGAAAAACAGATTGTTTATTTCCTGGGGAGGGAAGCAATATGAACAAAAGGTAATAACGTATGTTGGATTGTGATACTAGTAAATATCAAAGGAGAAGCTGCCGCAGAAAAGAGCTACAGAACAATCCACTTTAAGGTCAAACTAGGAGTAAATTGTGTTGATGATAAACTGGATTGATAGGGACTATAACATGTCAGCGCTATAGATATGGCCAATGACTACATTGATCTGAAAACACTATGCCTTTCTGCCAAAATCTGTCATTGTTACATGTGTTATTTAATATAATATAAATTTCTTCAAGCAAAGATGTTTGTTCAGTTATTCAATAGTTTACTTTGATCGTTTAACTGGAAAGATTTTTCTTTTTTTTTTTGGGGGGGCGGGCGGCTGTGGGGGTGTGGGTGGGAACTGGCTGGCTGTGGTGTGTGTGGCTGGCGCGCGTGGAAGCGTGTAAGGGCTTGTGAGGGCGTGGCTCGTCGGATGGAGGAGAGGAGTTTTGGAAGATTTCATATGTGAATCAAAAAAGACCAACCGGAGTATGCCTATGAACATATACGACACCCCATCACTGAAAAGTGGAAACTTCTGTCCATCAGGTCTTTGAATGGGGAATACAATTTGATATAGCACAAAAAGCTATGAAAAACGAATTAGTAACAGACAGACTCTTAAGATTCACTCTGTTATTCTGTGCTACTTTGGATCCTAGAAGTTTACAGTTAGTTTTGCAGATTCTGAGAGATTGCTCTGTAGGCAGAATTTCTAACTCTTTGAATCTCAGTTAGAAATTTAAGACGGATATTGGGAGCATTGCAAGATGAGTTGATGCATATAGATCTTAAGACTGCTGGGTCATTTGTTATCTATTTTCAGATTGTAAATCTTACAGTTCAAGTAATCTGAAATCTGAAGAAGCAATATTTTGAAAGACCCACCTTTTTGGCGGGCGTCAGAAACTGATGCATCTGTTCTTTGCGCCAGCTGAAAAATATTAGGATTTAGGAACACAAATTTGATAAAATTGGTGCTTCAATTACTGCTAGCTTTTTTCCTGCATGTTTATTTGTCTCTTGACAGTTACAACTGATGGTGATATGTTTTCGTTTTTGCTTACTTAGTATTTCTGCTTTGGCAGATAAGTTGCGTGAGTTTAGTTTACTTCTTCTCCCCTTCACCCCCAAACCTGTTCCATCAAAACAGATGAACAGGACAAAAAGCCTACAGGTCTTTCTCATGTATATACATATATATATAGTATATACATATATATATATATATATATATGAATTGTAACTATAGGGCCAGACATGACAAATTTTGGCTGTCCAAGGTATGAAGATATATAGCTAAGAATAACAAACAAAAGAAAAAACGATAGAGTAGAAGTTTTTCTTTTAATTTATGTTCACTGTAGCTTAAAGAAGGCAATCAAGGGATCGTATACATCTTGCTTAGCATTTTCTGCCATGACGTAGTCTGCATGGGCATAATCATATCTATACTGAACTACAAGCTTGTCTCCGTCATGATCTTTGAGACTATCCAGCAGGTGCTTCACATCATTTACATCAGAAAGAGCATCCTCCCCTCCATAGCTGAGGAAGAGAGGAAGGTCATTTGGAATGCTAGTCATGTTGTTATGCTGGAGGAGTAGGTTGCCCATAATGCTTTGTATTCTCACTCGCATCATTGTAGTCATACATTGTTATGGTTCCTTGTCTAATCACTGGTAAAATAAACCCAGAATTATGCAGCTGGCATTTCTAAACCAAAAATGTTTTAGTTTCTGAAAGGATGTTTACAGGTACTTACTCTGAGCCAGATGTACCATGTTCTTTGTTGCTGATGGTTGAGGCTCATGATCAAGAAAAATATCGACTATGGAAGAATTCAAGCAACAGTTCTGACCTACAAAAAGATGTCTAGTCAGGAACAGATGACAGTTTCCAATTAAATTTGCTTCATATCATAAATCAATAGGTACATTAGAAGTACCTGTAAACGCGGTCAACAAGTTAGTGCAGTCAACACCAGGTTTGCGGCAGATGTCCTTCAGAAGTTTGACTACAGCCTCCCTGTTCATAAGAAAGAAACATTGACAAGAAAATGTCATCAATCCAAATGGAAAAACAGAGAATGACCTTCACAACCTATTTTAAGAAATACCAAACAGTCATCTTTGTAGTCTCTCTAAACTTTCTATTTCACATAGCAACAGCAACTAAAAATCTCATGGCTGGCCGTCAAAGATTGGGGAAAAGGTGAAGAACAGAGGTGGCAATGGGATTCTTACCCTCTTGGATCAAATTCACTGAGGCCCAACCAGTACAATGTCTGTCAAAAGTCGATTCTTATACCGTTAAAATAGTTGTCTTCAATTTGGATTAATAACAGAAAGAAATTGGTATTTGTTTTAACCTCAGCAATGAAATTGTCAGCAGCATTTCTCGCAAGTGGGGAAGTCATCTGACCCACATAAGCAATTGGGCTGAGTAAAGCAGCTGATCTCAACATGTTCAACAGCTGATCTTTTGAGAAGGCAGCCAGAGCAATCAGAGTTCCCTGCAAAGAATATCAAATTCACCATTAGCCTTGATAGTTTAAGAGAATATTCAAAAAGGAAAATTGAAGCAGCAGATTCAAAATTTACCTGTGAATGCCCAACATAGTGCAGCTTTTGCCCTGCTCGATCATGCACATACTGGAATGTAGCAGGAAGATCATAAGCTACTAATTCGTCCCACGACCAATTCCAGTAGGCCTAAAAACGCGTAAGAATCAGTCTCATGCATACAATTCATAACCAAGGGGAAAAAAATAAGGAAGACACCATAATAATAACCGGATCAGCAGGACTGAGTGATGTATGCCCTTTGCTGTATTTTGTTCCACGCGAGTTAGCAAGCCAGACATCATACCCGTTATCTGCCAAGACGAATGCCAGGGATTGTTCTGGAGGCAATAGCAACCATGTTATTCCGTCCTGACATCATACAAGTCCTTGTTACATACAGAATTTTGTCGAAATTCATTGTATCAGAAAGCAGTGGCACCATGACAGATTTTAGCAACCATTAAGAGCCCGTGCTGTAACAGGACTGGTGGCCTGCTTCCTGGTGCCCCACCTGACCGCCCCACAGGAATTCTTTGCATACTGAGAATGTATCCATCTTGTGTAGTTACCTAAAAACCAATCAACATATCATTCAAACTGTATAAAACAGTGGTTGGCATTTGGCTAAAATGTCAAACCCTGGGACTTGAACTGAAGAGGAAAAGAATGTCGGCATATTCACCATGTGCTCTTCACACGCATAGCCTTGTGTCTCCACCATTGATTTGCAAATACCATCATCAGATGATTGAGCCAACGCAGCCACGCCGATGCCATTCCCTTGAGCATTGAATGAAAACAACTTTGTTCTGCTTCCAGCTGCTGACCCACTGAAAAAGATGAGTAAAATTACACAGGTTAAACCGTTGGCTACCTCCATATATTTTACGTTTCCTGCTTCAACAACCCCAACGTTGAGGCAACTTTATAGTAGCTGAAATCCAAATAAAAACAGAATCAAGTATTCACATGAAGAGCTCTAAAACACTTTGTCAACAGATTGCTCTACTGGTTTAAACAAGGTATTGAGTGGGCCCTTTTTTCCCCTATTATTAATGCATTAGCCTTTAGATCATTTTTTTTTCTTTTTTTTTTTTGGGAACATTTCCGCGCTGCCACGATTCCTTAAATTAACAAGAAATTCCTTCGCATGTATATATTGAAGAGGTTGATGATGAACCCAATGCAGCAAATGCATAAGCCAAACAGATTTGCACAAAGAAAATGTCTTCCTCACAGTTTCATTTGTCTCAATAGGAAGAAACTGCCAAAGTAGCTCCAAAACAGCAGCTGCATTGGAAATTGAGACGCGTCTAATGTTCATAAATAACAAATCAGAGTTCTACTGCTTTGTTATTACAGCAAATATAATAAAAACATAATATTTAAAAAAGTTCTTTTAATTATTTTTAAAAACTTTAATAAATTTTTATTCTTCTATTAATATAATCAAGCTTTTATATTTTAGTTCAAATAAACTTTTATAATTAATAATCGACTAATTATCATTATTTAAAAAACTTATTATTATTTTATATTTACATAATGCTGAAATGATATTAATGCAAAGGGTAAAAAGTACGATACAACTACGTCATATCAATATGTTATGTCATTATTTATTATGATATGTCAATATATCATGTCTGTACCACATCAACGTTTCGCGATATAAAATGATAAGTGATATTTTGACTAAATCAACAATTAATTATAAATGGTTATTAAATTTAAAATAAAAATAAAAAGATTTATTTTATTCAAATTAAAAATATAAAAACTTAATTGAATGTAATAAAAATATAAAGACATATTTAAAAATTTCAAAAATAGTTAAAAAGGTTTTTAAGATATTATACCTATAATAAAAATAACTTGGGAACAAATGGAATAAACAAAGAAACTCTTTAAATAATTTCAATATTTCCTGTAATTATTTGATTAATGATAATATGGGTTGGTTCCCGGGAAATAATCAAGGAATAAAACTATGGAACAGGGTGAGTTCTAGATCATTTGGTGAGGTAATTATATTAGTATTGGTTGATATTGTTTTTGGTTAAGTATTCATTTGTCAGTTGTTATTACCAAATATTATGACCAAAACAAGATTCCATGATTATATCTAGAGTTTATATTTGGTAAGTTGTTCTGTAATATTATATAATGTTAAACTACAGCTCACAACCTTGTTAAAGAATGTCTAATACATGTAAATAAATAGTATTACATTTTGTCATCTCATCAACATTACAACTTTTTCTATAAAGATGACATCACCATTCATAGATTATGTGTATTAAATTATATATTAATAAGTATTTAATTTTTAAAGCTTTTTAAAGCTTACTTTTTAAAAAAATTAATTTTTGACGTGAATGAGCTCTAAATTATGGATAATATATAATATTATATATTGATGATATACCCAATAAAATAATTATTTTCATATGAAATCAAAGTCTTCAATCTTACAAGCTAGTCATCGATTAAACATGTGTTTTTTTGCCTGCTCTCCTCAAGTTCTTCTTACATGCCATACCTAATGCAACTCTGACTTGTTATAATCCCATAATGGATGGAAATCTCTGCCTCATTAACATGCTTTTGTCACAAAACATTTGAAATTATCTTGATAAGATCATAAGCACGAGTAGTGGTGCAAAAACGACGATTCGAAAGATTTGTTGCTGTATATATATTGAGCTTGTGAGATCGAAAACTATTTGTAATAAGGATTTATTTAAAATCAATGTTTTGGTAGAATTTGTATCAATGTGAAAACTTGTTCGATATTCGACTCAAATTCTAACTGAAAATTAATTCAGATTTTATAAAAAAAATATTTATTGAAAAGCGATTAGTGATTAAGTTTATTTAAAAGTAAATATATTTATACAGTAAAAAGTTTTAAAGGGTATAAATTCTCAGTGATTAAATAATAGGATTTTATAAATATGAAGTTAGTCTTGGATCAATTGACTTCATAAATAGGGAGACATGTATTTACTGCATGAAATGATATCTCTAGATCAAATGATGGTTAATAGGCATGTCAAGAAATGGAATTAAGAATGTTGATGGTGTTGGTAGTTTCTAAATATTGACAACTGAAAATGAATCCCCTAGAAAAGGAGACAACCTGTTTAGTGCTTTTATATTAATGAAAGTCCCAACACAAGGCACTACTTGTTAGATACGTACATCAATTAGTTAATGCTTATCCTCTCCCTTGAGACTTAAAACAGAGGGTTTGTTCCATGCACACCCGATCCTATTTCTAGGGGGTCCATACCCCTATGGCCCTAGAGCACTTTGGCCATGCTTAAGCTAGCTAGAGATTTTCATTAATTAATAATATGAGAATATTGTTACCAATTTTTTTTCATTATTTTATCATATTCTAACAAATGGGGCAGCATGTTGTAAGGAGAAATCAAGATTGGTGGATGGACCGATAATTGCTTAGACCGACCAAACTTAATTGTCTATATGTTAGGGAAAAACGGGTGTGGTTCGTAAAGCACTTAGGATGGGCTAAGCTAAATGCCTAAAGTAAAAGGGTTGATTACACTACACCATTAATTTTATTTAGAGAGCACCATTAGTAGCCAATCTAACCAGCATGCAGATTTGATAATTGAAACTTGAAACCTACAAAATAAAGACCCTTTATTGCTGACATGAAAACATACATGGAGTCAGGGACATCATCCTTGTCAACTTGTTATCTCCAAGGCCACATTTCATTAACAGACAGCTCTGCCAATCTAAGATGATGAGACAACAGGAGCATTCACTTTATCTTTACTTTTAGTTACTACTCCAGACTTGTTACTCTCCTTGCATGACATGAGCTGCAACCTTAGTCATCTTCAGTTATGAAGAGACAATGGAACAGAGTTATTTTGTAAAATAACAACAATAACATCAATCCTAGAATTGACAGCAAAGGCTCCAAAGCAAATTTTTGTACCATAGGATGAAAAACTAAATAGAGACAAAATTGCACTGGGAGTGCACAAGTAATATCCCGAAAAGACTCTGTTGCACTGGGGCCTAGGGGGCATGCATGGATCCCCAATCACTTCACTCGGAAGAAAATTGCACTAAGGACATAAATGGAGTCCCAGAATGATCAATCTAAAGTGGGAATGCAGCAGAAGAAACAATGAAGTTCTATTCCTACAAAAGAATGATAATATAGATAAACAATCTTATCGGGTGTAAGACTGCCAGTAATAGTTTCTTTTTCTTTTATATTGGGCAAAAATCTCTAACAGTTGCTGTCATGATTGTAAGTGTTAACATGGTCGATTGGCTTCCACAGAATTGCACAAGGCAGGAGCATTCTTTAGCATCTTTTCAGATGCTTTCAATGTAATTTCTGGCCCTCGGGATCTTGCTGATGATTTAAGGAACCGGAGTTGCCACCCTCTAGGTTTTAATTGTCCCAGTAATTGCCACCTTTTAGGTTTTATCTGCCCTAGTAGTTTCAACTGCTCCTTTCTGAACTTTCTATTTGCATACCATGTTCCACCTCGCCAACCCAAGCCGTATCTGCAGTTAAGCAAATAAAGGCAAAGAACCAACTTAAATGTCATATATGGTCCTTGCAAACTGGAAAGTCGAAAGGATATTAATGAGGGGATTTTTTCAGCTACAGGGGAAAGTATGTACCAGTTAAAAGTACAGCGAAGAACATAAGGATTCAATAAGATGTTTTAACCAGTCTCCTCATGATTTCTTAAATTGATTTTTTCAATCAAGAGACAAGGCAACCTTCGCATTGGCAGATGATGAGAAGAGATTAACCTCGACATGCATTCTTACCAAAAACTCAACCACATTCTTACTACTTCCTAACTCTGTCAAAATCCATAAGTTAACTCTATCAAAAACCATTTATCCTCGGCTATCATGTCTGTAATCTGCCTCAACGGACATTCCTTGAGGTATGCCATATTAATTAAATTGTAAGATGTCTGTTTAGTATTCTTTGCAAGAAAAAACTTAGCAACTTTATCTCATATTACCTCCAGTTACTGCCACTTCTGACCCTATGACAAGTACATTAACTCTTCGTCCTTCTGCAGTGTTTTTTTCCAACTCACTGCATTTTGGCCATAAGTTTTTCAAACATTGCAAAATTATAAAGGTTATCATTTTCTCTTGATGTTAGAAAGGCTCCAAAAACCCCTTCCACTCGAATTAAAAGCAAAATTGAACCACTTTGATCTTTAGAAATCAAGCCAGATGGAAAGGTTGGAGATAAATAAAACAAAGAGGAGAAATTTCTCCCATGGTGCACTCTTTATATCTCCAAAAGTCGAGATACTTGGAGAGCAATCAAACTAGCTAATTTTATAAGTTCTACATGATAATTTATTGATTAAATCTTTTTCATAGAACATGCGCCACAAATACTATTATCGTAAAATCATTAAATTTCACTCTTGATCCCCTATCTGTTATCCGTACAGCAAGAGAAAACTAAATTGCACACCAAAGCATCTCATTTCTATTCTTTTCTCTTCTCTCCTATTAATTAAACACATTGTAATCAGAGTTTAAAAAATGCTATAATTCATTAGGAATATATTAACCATTGTGAACATACCCAACAACAAGAGCAGTTCCAGCCGTTGCAACCCAAGCAGCAGTTTGGAAGGCCCTGGGTCAACAACTTTTTTGATGTCTGCGTGCTCAAGATGATAATTGTTTTGCATCTGTCACAAGATAAAAAGCAGCACATTCATATGTAAAAGTGAAAAGGGTAAGTAAGAAGAATTAGGGAGCAGAGTATACAAAATTGCATAAAAAGGTTTGACAATCCCTCAAGCAAACAAACAGCAGGTTCTAACTCGCTACAGTGAAACCATTAAACGAAGGGAGATAAACAACCCATTAGCATCAGGTTTTTACACGTGATCAGAATCATTTACCTCAAACTTTTTTAACCAAAGAAAGGAGAAAACCAGATATATGACAATCCATTGCAATAAAAAGTGCAAGTATAGCTTATAGGGAAGTAACAACTAATCAATATCCATTTGGAAAAACATTTTGAAAGTATAATAAAAATGTCATGCATAGCAAGCTCAATTCAAAACAACACAATTCCAAGGACACAGAGCCTGAGTCATTTAAAATAGTCTAAGACTACAAGTGTCCAATTTATTCCCTCAATTTCGGATCCAAGTTTAAGGCTAAGAAAACAATATTAGAGTATATCTACTAATTGGATACAAAAGTTGACTCAAAAACTAATACGTGCATGGTACTGAAGATCTAAAGCAATGACAAGAATTCTCACAGCTTTCTCAATCAATTCAAGCCTTTGATTAACTTTGGTTTCATGATAATGCCGTAAAGAGTACCCTGTACCAACATCAATATGTTTCTTGTTAGATGCCCAGCCCTAGCACATAAACGAAACTGTCAATAGCAAGAACATGGAGCTAGAAACCACAACATCAGACCTCCAAGACAATCACAAAGAGATGCCTTCAAAAAAGCCAAACTTCAAATGGCTTTATGCTTTTTTTAGCAAACCAATTCTTATTCACTTATGCTCAAGCAAATCCTATAGGAGCTCCCACAAGACTTAACTGAAACATGGAGCTCCAATATGTAAAGTTTTAAGGGTTTAATCCTCTCAGCCAATCTTTTTTAAAATAATAATAATTATGGTAATGATAATAATAATCTGAATGCTTCTTTTAAGCAAACCAATTCTTATTCACTTAAGCTCAAATAAATTCTATGATAAAAATATTTTGGTATTCTACAAAATAACAACAAAACAACCAACAATAATTTCATAAATTAATAAATTAATAATAAAAAACCAGAAACCCCTCAGCCAAGAGCCAAATTCTACAAAATATCAACAAAACTGACCAACTTTGAGACACAAGTGCATTTATAATTTTTTAAAAGGCAAGCAAAATAAAATGAGTGTTGCAACTTAAAATCAGCAATTCAGTTGTGAGCAGTGAGTGCAGAAGCACATCAATCCACCATAGATCAATTTTCAAAAATTAGTTAAGCCTTTACAATGTCCACTAAATTCTTCTACAGCAATCTCAACGCAGTTTGTTTCTTTCCTTTTAACCAATAAAACCTTCTGTCAACAGGGATGGAAAAACCAATTAGTAAAGCTGCAATGCTAATGCTAAAGGACTTCAGAGAAGATCAAGTCCAAAACCTGCTAAGTATGGTAATGGAATTAAATTGAGAAGTTTAGCCTTGGTTTAGAAAAATTTGCTACTCAACCTGATTAAACTGAAGTCTAGGGAATTAATGGGTGTGATCTAAATAGAAAAGCTCGACAATGATACTTCAACAAAAACTGAAGCAGTAAATTTATATTTCAATGACAGAAAAGAGAAATGCAATGTTGTATTTAGAATCAAATCAAAAAAAGCATAATGGAACTGTAAAGGGAAATACAATGGAAGAGAAACTCACCAAACCATGCTGTAGCAACTGAAGCTATAGAAGTTCCTACTGTAAATACCACCTTATGCCTCTCAAATGTATCCTATACCATTAAAATCAGTCATCACTAACTTTAACAAGGAAAACAATCGCCACTAAACAAAACCCCATAAAATTATACCAACACAAATCCAATTGAATCTGTAGTACCAAAAATAGAGAAATATAATAATTTTAGCTTGAATATCACAAAAGCTTATTCGTTTCCCATATAAATTAAATTGAATGAATTCCCATCTAGTGAAACTAGAAAAATAAGATAAAAATTGGGAAGAGGAGGTGCCTTGGTGGAGAAGTAGGTATCTTGAACAGCAGCCCAAGAATTAAGGGCTGCTCTCTTCAAGTGGGGAACTGCCATCGAACCTAGAAGAGAGGTGCCTCTGCTTCTTAATCGATGCATAGTTCATTCTATGTGAGAGTCCGCTGAGTTGACTCTGACGACTTATTTCGATTTCACCGAGTTTAGATGAAAAGAAGAAACACGAAAGTTTTCTGAGAGGGAAAACTCAGAAAAGGTTTTCCCACGACTTGCTTTTCCTTTTCTTCTTAGAATATTTCCAGCATTTACAGATACTTTTGGGTAATATTCTCACTTTCGAACCTTTTTTTACAAGTCATCCATTTCTATTTCCGAATTATTTGAGCCATAGGATTTATTGATGTCATACTATTGTCATTTTAAAACCGTTAGATCTTATTGGCCAAAAAAAGTGAAAAACCATTAGGTCTCAACTTATTATTTTATTTTTCATACATTAGAGATTTTATTTTAGTTTTTTACTTAAATGCATCCAACTTTCTATTGTACCAAAAAAAAAATTCTATCTTTATAATTTGAGCTATCTTAAATTTTTAGACTTTTTGTATACTCAAATTTTTTAAATTTACACATTTCATCGAATTCGAATAGTTATCGAAACCAAGTCTAACAATTTTAGTGTATGTTTTAAGTTCAATAATTTTTAAAATATTTTTAAATGTTTATTTATACATAATATTTATTTATGTAGAAAATTAAGGATTGTTCTAGTAGGTTTTGTTTTGAACAAAAAACAAAACGAAAATCACTGCATCAAAAGTGCAATTTGTGGAAAAGAAATGTGTTGGGCTACTTATCCTTCAATTAAACTTGAGAAATCTTATTATGAAGATGAGGTGCGCCTTCTTTAAGCCTATTGTACTCAATGCACTTAAGTTACATATCCTACGTCAATGAAAAAAATAGATAAATTTAAAATATTACTATAAATAGTTATTTATAAACTTATTTAAATTATATTTTTAAAATTTAAATCATACGAGATTAGTTTAAGTTTTTATATGTAGATTTAAATTTTCACTAATGAAAGACGTTTATAAAAGATATTAAGTTTGAAATAGATTCAGACTGATGTATAAGTTTCTCTCTTTTATACGTAACAAGTCAATACAATAAAAACGTCGTACAATTGAATGAGATAAAATATCAAAAGATAAAAGAAAGATTAAATATATAAATATAAATTTTTCACCATCTATCAAACATATTTTTTAAGTTACAAATGTGAATTCGTAATTTATAAATTTATTAAAATTTTATTTTTAAAATTTAAAATTACATGAGATTAAGTTTAAATTTTGAATCGTAACAAACACTACCATATTCCTCAACATCTTTTGTCTCTCTAGCAGAACAGTGGCTTCTAAATTTCTACTGTCATTTCTTGACTCGGAATCTGTAGTTCCTAATGATTCTAACAAGTTGAAGATATCACTACCGTTGTTCTCAAACTTGACATAGATCGAAGACTACATCGACCTAGTTCAACACAAATCTGAACTCAGTTCTTGCACATATTAATCTGCCTTGTCAAGAATTCCAGGCTCCTATAGACTAAAGTGTATATCTTTCTAAATCGACATCTATTCTCTATAGATACTAATGCAAATGTTGCAAAAGGTAATGGTGCAATACACGTATGAAAGTATGATGCAGTAGACTAGAGGATGTATATCTATCCCATAAACCCATCGAACCAGACATAGTTGTTCAACTTGTTCAACTGGACCTGAGCTGCCAAGTGCTTACCATGTAACACTCAACCATATCAAACTAAAACATTCTAGTGACTCTATTAACATAAAAGCATTCATCCTTGAGCAGGAGATGAATTCCAAGAAAGGAAAAGGATCTTACAACTTTTCACCTGCATTTTATTCACCACAAAAAAATGCCTTCCTGCCCCCCAGCATTTTGCTAATAGCAAATCTCCAAACAACCTATAACACTCTGCCAGATCACAGGTGAAAGGGGTGCAGGAGGTACATATCATCAAAGTCTCCTTCAAGGGTACAAATTAACAAAAGAGACAAGTCAAAAGATAACAAAATGACTGATTAAATCAGTTTAATCATGTGAGGCTTTTGAAGAACTCTGCAAAGAATGTGGTGGAGAAGCAGCCTGTTCAGGTGGATCATCTGAATTCTTAGTCTCCAAGTTCTGATGTTTCTTGCTCACAGAATCAGTATTCCGTGCCCAATCAGGAAGCTTTGATGACAGGGGAGCTTCAGACGAATGGGCTGTTGGTGATATTCTTTGATATGTTAGGAGAGACGTATCAAACACAGATAAAGGCAGGCTTAGGCCATAATTATAAGGATATCCCAAATAAGGGTGATCAAATCTGCATGTTGGACCATATTTGCAGAGCCCATACATAGTGTAGCTAGAACATACAGCTTGCCCCTACATATAGAAGAACAGGAAACAATTAACGTAATCATTTTGCAAAAAGAAAAACAAAATGAGCGAACTAATTATGAGTGATGAAATCTTTAGAAATGGCCATATAAATTCCTTCAGCCAAACTCATTCACCCAAATGCATATTTAGTTAAATACCTGACCATGTGTCAGATAAACAGGAAACTTACAGGTCTTGAAGGAAGCCCCAGTGGGCCGATATTATTTACCGCAGAATTTGCAATCCTTTCCTTCGGATGATGGTACTTGCAATCAGATCCGTATTTGCAAGTGCCAGTGTTCATATAATACCGACATTCTGGTTGATCAGGTCTTTCAGGGAAATTTGAAGCAGATGTTGATGACAAGAACACCTGTCCACTAGAACCTGACTCAGCAGGATTCATTGAGTTGTAAGCAAAATTGGATCCAAGAATACCAGTAGAAGATACAGAGCTCATATTTCCCTGATCAGAATTAAAATAAGAAAAGAGGAAAAAGATGAGATATAGAAAAAGAAGTTCCAATCAACATAAGAGCCACCTACGAACATTTTTTTATCAAACCTATAAACAAAATTAGAAATGCACAAACATGTTGCGTAAGGCATTGTAGTTCAAGGATGTGGTCAAATACATATGTCAAGGCAATAAAAGGCATATAGGCAACTCTATGTGGGATCAGCATGTTGCAATCAATTGCATACCACTTCAAAGTATCAAAGTCATGACAAAGTTTTGACTGGCTCTCTTATGTTCATCCTTACAATTTGAACCCTGTTATAAAACAAGCAATAACAAACAGGCAATTACACAATATAATTGCTGCAAGTACACATAAGCTACCATGAACCGCCTCTAGAGACTTCAGTAATCTCCACAAATAAACAGGTGAATAACATGCAGGTGCAAAATATATGGATATAGACAATAAAGTTGCGGAACAAATAATACTAATCAACACATACAAAACACAGTTAAGTTTGTTTTAGACAGCGGTCATTTGCATGACCAACACAGTTAATCATTTCTGGTCTACTAGACTACAAAGGAAGAGAAAGTAAACCACTCCATTTCCTAATGATGGTAAACATAACAAAAGCACAACTTTTCAGACTTGCTCAGCAAGCACCTCAAACAACAATTGACAAACATAAAGACATCTAAGGTGTCTTAAAGTCGTACTTATGCAAAAGAAAACAATGTGCCTAATAGTAAGTGAATTCTATATAAAGAATAGAGTAAAGACCAGGTAATTTATCATAGCATCTCCAATGACGGTATCTTCCAGCAAGATCCAGTCAATGAACTAACCATTAATAACTGTTTGAAAAGGACATTGTCAAATGCTACAGATATGTATTAAGGATGTTTGTCAAACCATGAAAATAGAAATTTCAATTATTACCCAATTACAATGTTAAAAACAGACAACAGATATAAATGCACATCAAGTCCTTAAGAAAAAGAAATGATAAAATGGTGTCAGCAGATAAGAAGAAAAAGCACATCATAAGTCTTTCTGAAAACCATGCAGTACATGCAGAAAACCCTTGGGGACTTGCCCTTCAGGTCTTAGAAGAAAGTTCATAAACCAGTTCTTAATAATCAAGACCATATCATGTTATTATCTAAAAATCCAAAGGCTCTGCTCTTATCACATTATTATCCCATCCAGTGAATTGAAAACTCAACATGAAATTTAGCAATTTGAAGGTACAGTTAATCAAAAGTCCAGGAGATCAAAACAATGTTCACACTGGCAGAGAAACTTATATCATTGTGCCTTGCTTTTGGACGAGTGAAAATCTTTAAATTTCACTATTTTCAAAATCATTCCAATATACTTTATGTTTTACTCTGCCGGAAAAAACACCCTGGAAGGAGAACAACTTGCAGATATCAGATTTAATTGACCACGTTATACTGGAGCCAGAAATTCAGATAGACATTACTCAACATAAGAGGCATCCACTCACCATGTAAGTGCTCCAGCCATGCGCAGGTATTATGCTTTGGGAAGGAGAAACAACAACAGGCATGTAGCTTTGGGGACCTTGTAAACGTGGGCCAGAAACATATGGTGCCCTAGGCAATGACCATGTGGGTAATCCACCAGCATATGACACACCTGATGGTGGCAAAATTGATGATGACACAGGTCCATTTCCAGGTAAGCCAGCACCAGCTGATGGAGGCTGGGGATGATGGAACTTGCATGCAACTCCAAACTTGCATGATCCAGTTCGCATGTAATAAGGACATGGTTTTTCATCCTGATATATACAGAGTCAGCATGAGACAATACATGGTCAAGGAAGACCATCAAAGAAAGAGAAAAAGAAAGCACCTGACGCATGGGAAGACCAACAATGTTAAATGTAACAGGTCCAGCACCATTCCTGTCCTTTGGATGATGATATTTACATGTTCGTCCATATTTGCAAGTTCCTGTCTTTAGAAAGTACTGCAAAGCAGGTTCGAAGAAAATCTCTAAATTAAAAAGCTTTCCACCAGAAACATTTTCTGATCAAAAACAAAAAAGAGACAGCATCAACAAGATGTCCAACAGTCAAGCACTAGATCAACCAAATCAACCACGATCCTAAGCTATATCAACATCAGTTTTCCTTCAATAAAGAGTTATGCATCACTTCACTAGGTTAAAAGGAAACATTAGTACACTATAGAGAAAAAAAAAATCTATCATATACTTTTTCTTTCCAAACAAATTTTAAAAAAATAAATACATAAACTTCCTGACTCAGGCCCAAAAACCTAAAAAATTGTAAGTCACCTGGTTGCGTGTGGTTTAAAGGAATCCAAAGAAGTTATATAAGGAGCCAGACTTGATCTAACTAAACAGTCAAAAAGTAGTGATTGGAAGAAAAAGAACAGAAAAAAAAAATCAAAGATGAAACACATATTCTACGTCATTTTATCAGTTACAAGCACATGTTTGGATATGCATACAAGTAAGACTTGTTCTAGCAAATATGTTTCGTAAAAGTTTCATAACATGCACCTTAACAAATTAATAAAACACACATTTTCTACAGATTTTTAAACATGTGACAGAACTTTCAATGAAGAACTTTGGACTGAGATTAAGAGCATAGTCCCTGCTGCCCACTGGTGAAACAGTGTCGCTGATATTGCATTACATAATCAATAATAAAAGAAACAGCTAAAAGGTGACCAGCATAATCAGGAAACTGAATTTCGCTACATACTATGTTTACATTCTTGCACATGCAGTCATGACTCATGTCTGCTAATATATCATAGTTCAAGTAATGAACCATTCAATATTCATTTCCCCAAAAACTTGTTTTTCATTCAATAACATCTATTCCCATAAATGAGCCACATTAGTTGCCTTTTCTTATCTCAGTAAGAGTTAAAAAAAAAAAAAAAACATATTCAGCAGCAAATGGAATTATGGAAACACAAACATCTACATATAAGGCAATATTGTACATATAAGGCAATATTGTAAATTATAGTAATCCACTAATCTTAAATGAGAAAGAATTTATACCCCACAGTCTGGCTGTCCAATTCTTTCAGGGAGTTCTTCTCTATATTGGCCACCCTGTAACAAATCACAACAATCAACCTCTCCAACACAGAGTCACTTCATAACATATTCTAAACGCAAGAATTCAAATCCACTTATTTTACATCTTAACATGATCAGTCACTTAATGCTATTCATTTGTTTAAAAAAATAAAAAATAGAGCTTGATTACCTGGGCAGCATAAGTCGGATGATTGAAACGACAGTTAGTTCCATAACCACATAATCCAGTCCTTAAATAATAAGAACAATCCGGCTCACCAGGACGATCAGGGTACGCGGTTGATTTAGAAACACCCACCTCTTGATTATTATCATTAATTTTCAACCGCAAAATTGCTTCTGGAAACATTGGGGAAAAAAATCCCCAAATAAACAAAATTAGAACCTCCTAGAAAAAAATTATAATTTGATTGCACCAAAATAAGCCATCAATTTAACAACCGAAATAACAAACTCTGTAGCTAAATCTATTACTACTATAAATTACCACAAAAAAAAATTCAATTTTTAAAAGCTGCAATTAAAAAAAAAACTTTGCAGCCTAAAATATAGAAAGTTACTACTTCTTTTCATTTAATTAATATAAATTTACCATTTTTACAAGTATTTAAAACATTGATCACAGTGGAAAATGATCACAACGAACTTATTCTTAACAAAAAAACAAAGAAAAATATAAAGCGTCATCAGATCTTTGTATAATTTGAGCTAACAAAGAGCGTACAAAGAATCGGTGCTACCTTCAATGTTATCAGCGGATTGATTCGACACAGCATTGTTCTGAACTTGCCGATTATCCGGCATCGGGGGCGGTGGACACAGAATTTTTATGTAAACCTTTCCTACTTTTTGATCAAAACAATCAAAATCCACAAAAAAAAAAATTCTTCAATTTCTTAACATAAATCAAAGCAAATTTTGTTCGATTTTCTGAAAATAATAATAATAAAAAAAAGATTTCCGTTTGATATTAAGTAAAATGATGGTGATGATCAAGAGAGTGCAATGAGACAGAAATTTCTCTATTTTTTTTTCTCGTGGAAAATAAGAAAGAGTTTATAAAGAATGAAAAAGTGAAATCCTACAAAATATTCCAATTTGATTTTTTCTAAAAATAAAATAAAATTCTTTTTCTTTTTAATGATGTAAGGGGAAATTTCCGATCTCTCTCTCTCTCTCTTAATGTGAAAACCAGAAATTGTAAAATTTTTCAAACGGCTTGTCAGTAAGCTTCTGTGCTCGTCCACCAATAATAAATTTTCCGTCTTTTTGATTGAAAAGACATTATTGCCCACCTAAGGCGCAAGCCCAACCACTCTCTTTCAGTTATTACCCGCAATGTTTGGTTTGTTCTTCAAACTGAACTGCCGAACGACTTGTTTCTTGTTATTAATTTTTTATCCTTTTATTACTATTATGCATTGAAAAAACTTAAGGGTAAATTTTTTTATATTATTACATTTTTTACAATCTTTAAAATTTATAACTTTTTTAAAATATTTTAAATTCATTCATTTTATTAATCAACTTTAAAAATAATACAATATGTGATTTCAGCATTACATAAAAATTCATGTGACATAAATTTTTATCTAAATCAATTATGTAATTAAATTGATGAATTTAAAATATCATAAATTTAATAATTAAATTTTAAAAGTTATAGACAAATTAAATATATTACACAAAAGTTATAAATGTGTAATGCAATTTATTGAAAAAAGTTAATTAAATTTTTTACTAAATTTTTTATTTGAAAAAAAATTCGAACAATTAAATCAAATACTTTAATATTTTGATAAGTAATTTAAAACTTAAATACTACTTACTTTCAAAAAAAATTTAAATAGTACTTACAAAAGGAAATACGGTAAATTATTTTTGACCAAATATTAAAAAATGTACATAAAACATCATTTGACGTTATAATATACTAATCATGTATTAGTCGTGTGTTTTCAATTCAATTTTTTTAAGATTTATGTTTTTAAAATACAATGAAGAGTTTTTTTTTTCTCAAATGCTAACTTTGTATGGAGGAACTATTTATTGGGTTCAAATCTCATATTTTGATTAAAAATAATTTACATGGTATAAATTAATAATAACAATAATCAAGTAAAAAAATATACATGATATTTTTTATTGACTCAAGTTATTCTATGAGTGAAATTTAAAATTTTGTTTGATTGGAACTTTTATTATTTTTATTTTGCTACAATTTGATTTTTACTTATTGAAAAATTTTGTTCTAAATAATAATCAAAAGGTGATAATATTGTTACACATATTTAATATAAATTAATATTAATATTTTTTCCAAACAGGTTCGTGCAAAGGTAAGGTTATTTATGTATTTTCGTATAGCAGTAGACAAAGAGAAATGAGCGTGAAAGTTACGGCATATAAAGTTATAAAAACCTTTATTTTTTAACATTTTGTTTCTATTTTCCTTTTTAAATAAATTAAAAGAATAAAAAAACAAAATAAAAAAAATCGTCATCACCGTCTAGGCGCGCGAACTTGGGAGGCGGCGATGAGGTCTGGACCAGCGGATTTGCATCTACGATGGACCCAATATAAAGCTCTCTCGAAATGACGAAACTACCCCTCAGTCACGGTTACATAGTTCGGGCAATGGTGGAGGGAGGGGTGTAACTGTCCTTCGATATGTTCAATTAATACGGTCGGAACAGGGCGCGAAAATATCCAATATCTCTATTGATTATTATTTAATCTCAGTTTCTTGTCCTTTGCGAACCCCAAAAAGAAAAAACGCGACAAATCGTCGCCGTCGAAGGGGGAGCAGCCATGGGGCCATCTGGACCCTTGGATTTCGGAGGAGCGGGACCCACGGATCCCAAACCGGAAAAAGAAACGAGCTTTGTCTCGGATTCGCAAGGCCAAGGCCGTGGGGCCGACGGAAGAGAAGAAGAAAGAAAGAGAGTGCGAGTAGATTTGGGCGGCGATTTTACTCGCCGGGGAAGTGCTCTTCAGACCACGGGACAACAACGTGGCCATTGAATTACGGAAATACCCTGAAGTTCTGCCTTCAGAATTTGAAAATTTGTATAAACATTATTATCATAAATTGTACTATTAAGTAAAAAACCAGATCACATCTCCATCAATAATATTGCCCTGGAATTAAAATGTTAAAGCCGCTTTGATCTCCTTGGATGCCCGAAGATGAAGAGCTACAAAGTGACATGCTGGGCAGTTTGTCACTGGTTAGCAAACACAAGATTTAATACCAAGTACAGATCAAGGTTACTTTGTATAGCTTAAAGCTGGATAATTAAAATCGACAATGTTGGTTAGGCCTAGGCGTTAAAGGCATTTTTAATGAGCAAATTATTGGACCACTAAGACCAGCTGTGCAGAGTTTTAGGTTGCACCAAAAAGACTAAACAGGAAAAAGGTTGGTAGATAGATAGTAGTTATTCATTCACACTATTTACATATGATGCATTAAATATTAGGATGTAGAAAAAAATAACTAACTTAATACAGTAATTGCTTTTTATTTCTTTGTTGATTTAATACGATGGTTAATATTTTAACATCCAGTAATTTTTACTATAAAGAGTGAATGAATTATTAAAATTTTAAAATATTTATTTTACATTTAAGTATTTAAAAGTCATCAATGAATAGAGATATAGTGTACTTAAGTATAAAAAATATTGCTCCTTCCATTGTTTTCTTTTTTTTTTTCTCATATGATATTTGTAATATTTTATTTATAAGTTTGTTGATTTGCTTGTGAATTGATAAACTCGATATCTAAATCAATTCAATAATGACATGTCATGTCAGGGTTGTAAATATTTGGGATAAAAATAATAAAGCAAGTAGCAAAACTCTTTGAATATAAATATACATTTATGAATACTAATGTCCTTCGTGTATAAAAAATCATTGAAATAAATTGATGGCATCAACATCCTAAATATCTTGCAAACCCCAAATTAATGATATTCTTTTACTAATGATAAGAGATATTCCAATTGATGCATGTGTGGTAAAAGATTTTTCTCTTGTTTTTTTTTTATTTTTTGGTGCTATATATGAAAAGGATGGACAGAAAATCAGTGTTTAAATCATGAGGGTAAATCGGTCATTGAACGGAAGAGATTTTTTTTTCTTTTTCTTTTGTAACTTTTTGGCAAAGAAGTTCTCCAAATTAGATAGGGGCAAAATGGTCCCAAAAGATTGATTTCGGCACAAGAAATGAACAGGTCCTAAGACAAAAAATACATAAATAAATTATTCCAACGTCCTAACGGGGAATGGAGGATAGTGATACACTGTCTCAAATACCACCAAAAACACGTGCTCGTGGGTTATTTTACCACCACGTGGCAGAACACAAACGAAAACCTGATGGCGGTGCAAGTCCATCCATGGCTTTGGGTGGTCTCCCCGGTAGTTAGGTGATTGTGAAATAAAAAACAAAGGGGAAAACGCTCCGTGCTGACCACTGAGCACACCCATGAGGGACCATGACGCAACACAAGTGTAGACATCCGGCAAGTTTCTGGCAAACAAGTCTGACCCAGTTTGACTAAAAAGGCTTGCTTGGTCTTTGGGCTGGGGAATTTTGTTTTTCTTTCTATTTGTTGTTTATCAACCAGCCAG